CTGAGCATTTTAGCAAACTAGTTAGCTTAGCACCGAGGCTAAAAGACTGGTTCTGGAGAATCTTGGTGGAACAAAAGCAGTAACATTTCGTGTGCGTAACAAAAAAAAAAAAGTTAGTTCTTTTCTCAAACAAAAATGTACATTTGTTTTATTTCTTAAAATCAATGAAATGCTTGTTGCACTTTGCTTCATCGTAGCTTATTTGATATTTACTATAGTTAGAATTAAATTAGTATTTTGGCAGTTTTACTCATAACTGACATTTTGGTTGGTTATAAATTATTTAGCTGCCCTAAAAATACAAATCACAAAACAGGAGAGGAATTCTCACTTTTAAGATGAAGAAATTGGAAACTTAACAAAAAAAAAATATATATATATAATATTTATATTTTTTGTAGAGCTACATCAATCTCTAGAAAAGATCTTCAGATGTTCAATCAATAATCCTTTGATCATCTTCTGATAGGGATTAGGGCCACCGAGTACCCAAAGACACTTCAATGGGCTGAACCAACTAATCTTTAAATTTAGAAATTAAGGTCACAACTCTAAGATCATAGAAGTCTGAGCTGAAAGTCAAACCTGAGATTAAAACCAGAATTTCAAGAGTAGAGATGGACTTCAGATTAAACTCAGACTTCTGCAATCATAATCAGAAATCTAAAATCAAAGCAGAAATCTAAGATTAAACACAAAATAAAAAAAAAAATAAAGTAAAAATTCTTCTCTATTTAAAATTTAATTCAAAAATAAAAAAGTCAGAATTAAAAAAATAACTGAGAATAAAGTAAGCATTCTAAGATCAGAGAAATTCTAAGATTACACTCTAATTGAAGGGGGAAAAATTCTGAATCAAAGAAAGATTTTTGAAAATCAAAGTTAGAATTCTGAGATTTTTTAATTTTTATTTATTATTCAATAGCCTCTTCAGATGAAAATCTAACTTTTAGGGGACTCAAAGATTAAAATTAGAATTCTTAGGGAAAAAAATAAAATATGCTTTCTAAATGAAATGAGAGTGAACTCAATACTATGAGATGAATCAGATTTTGGACACCCCTACTACACACACACTGTTGTTTTATACCAGTCTGTTTTTGCCTCCTGTTTATGAAACATGCAGACATTTTGGATTCTTAAAAATAGCGTAGAACCGTTTTTATCTCTCATAGTTCTTAGCAGAAAAACGCAGGTGTCATTTTCACCTGCTGCTTTATTCACAGATCGCCTCAGCATTTTAATCGGTCAGTGTTGACAACATCAGCTCAGACCTTATAGAGAACAGGAATCCCTGCTGTCTGGGAAAAGCCTCATCATTGCATTTGTTCTTAAAAGAAATACATTTAATGTGAAACAGACTTTGCATTGGTTTTATGGCAGTAGTTCACTGCAAGTTGCAGATGACCAAAAAAAAAAATCTGTGTTTGCTTATAAAATTAGTTTTGATGCTCCACTAGTCATTAATGGGCAAAAAATTCTAGAGTATAACAGATTGTTGCCTGATGTGTAGAGGAGAGCATGAGGAAGCCAATAAATTGTCCAACTTTAAGCAGGGAAGTTACTGGAAAATCTATAAATTTCTTCCCAATTTTTAAAAGCATCAAAATGAAAGACTTTTGGTTATGAAATGCATCAACCAACAGGATGTGCTTTAATGCATTTTTGGAGATGAGTGAAAATCCTCTTAAAATTAATATTATTTTCTGATGAATTAAAAATTTCTACGCAAAAAAAATAAAAAAAAATTGGATTCTGATCGCCTCAAAAATCAAATCAGAACCGGTGAAGACGAATTCACATTCTGGCACTGGGATGCCATCTTTAATTTATCATTAACTGAAAATTTTGTTAGCACACAAACGTTTACAAAATGTACAAACAACAACAAAAAAAAATGAACCAACCAAAGGAAAAAAAAAGACAACACATTCAAATGTCTGGATAAACTAGTCGCTTTGACCCTAAAAACCTGCAGAGGAGACAAAAAAACAACAACAAAACATTAAAAAGTGGAAGTCCAGAATAAAATGTTTAGCTGCACAACTTTGCAAACCCATTTCAGACTCTTTGGCAAGAACCGTCAGCAAAATATACACTTATGTTTTTTATTCATCTTTTCATCAATATAAAAATTCAAATAGAAAAACAACACAATAAGTATCAAATTTCATGTCTCCTAGAGTTTTTTTTACCTCACAATAAAATGTCAACATCAAAGGAATTATGCCAAAAATGGCTATTTATATATCTCTATATATATCAATACTACAAAAGTCCAATTTTTGATTTATGCAGAAAGGTGCTGGTTCTGTACAGGACATTCAGGTTTTAATACCACATATTTCATCGCGCTCACATCTCAACCACACCAACACAAAGAAAAGTCAGAGTACCACATGTGACGTAGGCCATGGGTCGGCTTTAATGTTCATCAATCTGCCATTTCCTTGTCACATGAAATCGTTTAGCTCCGCCTCCAAGGCGGCGGCCATCTCGTCTGCTTCCGAGCTGCTGCCTTCCTCTTCCTCGTTGGAGTCTTTAGAGGACTCGTCAGCAGAGTCCTGCTTGTTCTCCTCCTTGTCAGTGTCGTCGTCGTCCGTTCTGGCTTCTTCGTGTTTCCGTTTGTGGCCCCTGGACCCAAACAACAAATAAAACCAATGATTTAGAAACGGAACCTAAAGTACTGCTGAATCAAACGCAGGATATTTTAATAAAACAGAAGACAAAACAATAGGCACAATTCAAGTGCTACCTTTACACACTTTATAAAAAACACTTTTTTTTTCTTTTACGTCGCAGTTCTGCTCCGCTTCTGTGGTTAAACACTCCATTTATAAATATAAAGTAATTTTATTATAATAAATGTTTTGTTTTTACAATTATTCCAGAAGTAGTTATTGATTAATAACGTAAACTAAAGTTGATTGTTTTTTAAATTAAGTATTAATTGATAAGCGGCCATTAAAAAAAAACAGCTACATTTTTACTTGTAAAAATAGGATCCTTCCATTCACGAGTGGCCCTAAATATATAAATTGTAAATATGCTAAATAAGTTAAAAAGTAGTACACCATTATATTTTAACTATTTATCGTACCACCTGTAGAAAGAAGAAATAATTTATTACACACAGTTAAACTAAATATTTAAAAGATAAATCAAAACAGGAGCTTAGATTACTGAATAAAAAGACAACTAAAATACGTCAAACGTATGTTTTTCAATGTAAAAATATTATAAAAAGATGGGGAATGTCGCTCCGACGTGCTGTCAGACTATCTACAGCGTAATTTGAACTGGATGTAAAACGTGGCACAGCTCTCTGATATTAAACGTAGCTCGAGAATCGTTGCTACTAGAGACTTTCTGCTTTTAAACAGGCAGCTAACTGGGCACCATTTATTCCGATAACCTAAGGAGTTTAATTTTTATTAACAAACAGAACCATATCAATGTTATTCTGGACACTAGGTTGATAGTTTTTTTCTATTCCAGGCTTCAATCCGACCTACTTCTATTAAAAATGCTGTATAAGAATGAACAGCGGCACCCTCTAGTGGAATTCACTAACATTGCAACACCAAAAGAAAAATTATAATTTGATGTCTATGAATCAGATGGAACAGATTTGAACGTAATAAACCATTAATTCATTGATCCCAAATCAATTATTAACCAGTGATTTAATGTAATTTTGATTATTTAATGATACACTTGATTGTGAATTTTATAGTTTAAAGGAATATTTGATAATTGAATCATGTAATATATATATAGAGATGCTCCAAACCGAAATAAATATGGATCTGATATTATCCAAAAAACGAATATAATTCAGCAGACTGCATCTAAAATCAGAGATATTAGCATATATATTGGGAATCCTCAATTTCTGTTTAAAGTTGATATAGCACATTGGTTAATAATAGAGTGAGATGTCCTCCTGCCAGCTTTTGTTGACAATTATTTTCTGTTCGATATCACTTGATCAAAGCTTTTCTGATATTTTAAATAATAAAATGAGAAATAAAAATAATGATTTGTGCTGATCTCCTATCGGGTCAATATTTAGTCCATAATATTAAATCTATCCGATACTCAGAAGTCTTTTGTGTGGTAACAAAATGTGAAAAACAAAACTTCAAGGCGTATTGATGCTTTTTTTGCAGCGTAGGTAGAAAAAATATCAAACTACACAATTTGCAGTAGTTCCTGTTCAGCACAGGTCAGTCCCCTGAGATTTCAACATGAAATTAACAAGAACTTCTTCCCCAGACGGGGCCGCATGCAGCGTCCAGCCAATTACCACCTCCACCCCGAGCTGAGGCAGCTCACAGAGGACTGAGAGGAGCTGCTGCAAGCACCGACGCTCCAACCTTTCATTAAAAAGAAGTACTGTGGCAAATTTCTCTCACTCAAAGTAATTTAATGACAGACAGATTTAAAAAGAAAAAAAAGGCTGAAGAAACTTAAAATTCAGCATTTTAAGTCATTTCCCTGAAATATGACACTGAATACAATTTCTGTCATGTTATTCTAATATAAAGTAAATTTAAAATCATATAAATTAGTGGTCCTCCTAACTGTTAAACATTCTGCTGATATGTTTACATAAGGCCGTCCTACGTGCTCGTTCATATTTTCACTTACAGGTGGTGAGCCTGACATAATGGAAAAATCGCAAATTTTCTTTTGGGAAGTAAGTTTGTATGGGCGATGCAAACAGCAACAGAGCCGGCATGAGGGAATATGGGCTCTCACACACGTTTAAAGTAATAGGGAATCGGCCGTTCCAACCGTTGCATTTATGAATTCTCTCGGATGGAGTCCGACTTTACACCAGTGAATAAAATGAATGTGATTAGTCGTTTATCAAGTTTGATTGTGGCCGGTTTGTCTGAAGCATCTTGCTAACCAGTTAGCAACTTAGTGCTAGTAGGTTCCCAATGGGAAATTCCATTGGGACCAAGTAGCACTAAATTGGTGACTTAGCAACGACACTGTCAAGGAACGCTATTGTTAGGTTTATTATTTATACATCATGTGTATTGTTATTCTGTTAGCCAGATTAGACAGAGTAGAAGGCCTTCCTTCACATTGTGGATGTCACTGTGTGTAAGGAGGTCATATAATCAAGACAGCCTTCGTGTCTTTAGAAGTACACAGGATATGGGCACATCTTGGAGCCGGACCGATGGAGGAGACGCATCTGTAATCTTTTGGCATGGATGCAAGATGCTTAAAGTTCAGGGCGTTGATGGCGTGTCAGTTTCTGATACAGACAGCTAAACATCCACATGATCCAACACATGGGCTCATGAGGTATAAGAAGGAGAAGATGACCTTGTTCGGGGCTCAATCTTTGCTTAACTTTGCCGGACGCTCGCGGACGTTTTTTGAGACATAGCTGTGCAAACTCCAAGCAATTTCTCTGTCTTGTAATGACCTGATCTGGAATAAACTCTGTTACCTGTTTACTCCTGTTTTTATAGTCCTTTTTATATGGTTTTACCCAGTTTGAGTTAGGAGTAGTAAATAACTTGCTCCCAGAAAAAGAACCGGAAGGGAAGTTCTGAGGCACAGCCGCTATCAGGGGGACATACCTTCCATATTTAACGCTATGGACAGC